TGTATGGAGGGGTTGGTGGCAGTATGTGTCAATAAGAATCAAACTTTGAAGAAATAGTTCTTAACTTATCTAGGAGTGTCAGTATTGCAGGTAATGGTCGTATAGACCCATTTCTCTCAAAGCCTAAGTCACAACAGACGACCCTAAAAGGCATGGTTAAAGGTACAAAAAACATGTTGGGGAGATATGTTGGTAAATGGTTCTATGATAAAGGGATTCCCTTTGATGCAACCAATAGCCCATATTTTCCACCTATGGTCAGTGCAATTCAAAGAGCAGGGCCCGGGGTAAAACCCCCGACAGTATATGAGCTCAATGGGCCAATATTAGATGAAGAGGTGGAGGAAGTTACTAAGTGGATTGAAGAATATAAACAGAGTCGGCCAAGGACAAGCATTACTCTCATGAGTGATGGTTGGTTGAATAAAGTTAGCAAAAATGAGTTTTTAAAATTCTTGGCCTATTCTCCAAAAGGTACAGCTTTTTTGTCTAGCAAAGACGTATCAGGAATGAAGAAGGATGCAAACTTCTACGTACGACTATATGATCAGATAGTGGAGGAGGTAGGAGATAAGCATGTAGTCCAGTTTATTACGGATAATGCGTGTGCATGTGTTTCTGGGGGCAACAAGTTAATGGATAAGAGGAAGCATCTAGTATGGACGTCGTGTGCTGCACACAGCATCGATCTTATGTTAGAGGAGATCGGTGAGATCAAAATTGTGAATGAGACTCTAGATGAAGCAAGGTTGGTGTCGAGATTTATATACAACTACTCTAAAATATTATTTATGTTTAGATAACACTCTAAGAAAAAAGAAATAATCAGGCCTGCCATACCCTGCTTTGCGACCGATTACTTAGCTATGAACTCCATTCGGGAATCTGAAGGTGCATTAAATAGATTGTTTACCTGTAAAGAGTGGTTAAATGACCGCCTCTCGAAGTCCAATACCGGTATAAAAGTGAATGGCATAGTCTCAAATAGGAGGTTCCGGTCTTGATGTTCCAGTGTCGTAGAGGCCACTGCCCCTTTGGTCACAGTGTTAAGAATAGTGGAAGCTGACAAGGAAGCTACCATGGGCATCCTTTATGAAGGTATCGAAAGAGCGAAATCAGCTATTGGGGAGAAGTGTAGTTTTGCTAGCAAAGTGATCGAGATTATAGAATGGAGGTGGAACACCAAATTTGGACGTCCAACTCATTATGCAGGTAAATATATATTTATATCATTAGAATGTTTCATTGTAAATTATTATTTTTATGAAATTTTAAATGACATTTCTCTATCTTTTTATTTTCCAAGTTACTTCTTCAACCCAAAATTTTTCTATTTGACACCTGAACCTCCCCACAAGATTATGGAAGGGGTCAGATACATTATTGCCAGGTTTGAGAGAAGCCATCGAAACCAGGTAGCAACAATACAAGAGGTATTATTTAATGTTTGGGTAAGAACTTTATTGAGTTGTTAAAGTTGTGAGGAATAATGCACTAAAACGAAATATATTTGTTTTAGCTTGCTATGTATAGGGATGCTATAGGATCCTTCGGAACTACACTTGCCAGGAATTCTCGAACTAAAATGGATCCAGGTTATCCCCTAGCTAATATTTTGTTCATTCATATATTTAATCTTATGAATTGTTCTTGCCTTTACAATGTTTTTTGCATTTTAATACAGCTGAATGGTGGGAGATATATGGTACTGATGCACCTCACCTAAAGAGAATAGCAATCAAGGTGCTCTGCTACTGGCTATGAGCGCAATTGGAGTACTTTCCAATGGTTGCACACTACTAAGAGAAATCGACTCGCTTCGGAGAAGCTTCATAAACTAGTCTACGTTCATTATAATTTAAACCTCCGAGAGCGACAAATAAGAATGAGGCTTGAAGACTATGAGCCGATAGGCTTAGACACAATATTTGTCACAGACACAGCAGACCAATGGGTAGTAGAAGAGGAGGAGCCAGTGTTGCACAAGAGAGCGTTCCTTGAGGCGATCGGTGAGGAAGATCTTGAAGAAGGTGATGAGCAGCATGAAAGAGGAAGCAGTCAGCCAACGTATCCACAATTCGTCGAAGATGTCGGTGATATTGCACCTAATGATGGAGAGTGGGAAGGGGGTCTAAGGGAAAATGAGAGAGATGATGATTCCGAGGCCACCCTATCCCAGCCATATTATTCACATATCGAGTCCCAACAGCAACAGGTAGGGATGAGCACGACAGTATAGGTGAGCATGAAGGATGGACAAGCTTCGGGGATTTTGGATTGGGAACACAACAGAACACTCAGGGATTTGGATATAGTCAGACGCTTGCTAATATCGATGATTTGTTTTTAGATCGAATCAATGAATTGTAAAACGAATTCAATCAATGGCACCAGCGTGACCAAGAAGAAGAACGACATCGTCTGTCATTTTATTTTTAGATCGTATGTTACTAATTGTATGCTTTATTGTAGTCCATGTATGTTGATATACTTATTTTATGATAATTCTATGTTTATGCTTTTGTGTGACGTAAATTAAATGGTAAATAGTAGTTCATGCAGGGAAAGAACATGTCAATATTTGCATATTCATGCAAAGAAATGAAAACTCTTAATGGAGTACCCTCATTTTTTATTGAATTCCTAAAAAATAATATTTATAATGAATTTTAATAATTTTTTCGGATTTTTTTGAAGCTTTAATCTGACCGATTCCCGATCCGGATCGCCGATTCGCCGATCCGGATTGGTTTTTGAGGTGCCCGATCCGGATCACCGATCCGCTTAAACCATTGGTTTCAACCAATGGTTTAAAAAAAGGATCAGTGACCCGGATCGGGCTTCCAAAAAATCGATCCGGATCGGCTATCCGGATCGGGAATCGGGTGAATAGGTCAGAA